GAAAAGGAACAGAAGGTTCAGTACAGTAATGTTTCAGTAGAAAACACAACCTGACATTAATTCGTCTAGCTGAGAGAACAGGCTTGAAAGAAGAGGCCTCCCTCAGAGCAGGTTTGCTGGCAGAGGTCTGAGTTGGCCTGCGTCGCGGTGAGGGAATGCTCGTCGTCGGTCTTCTGTCCTTACTGTTTGGGCTGAACAAAGACACACGGCCTGCACTGGGTTTCTAAAAAAACACAGAAGTAGTTCTTGTCAAACAACACTCACAACAGAAGGAGCTAAAAATACTGACTGGTCCCTTTATTCCCCAGAGCAATATTATTCACCATCTCCTAATATGTCATGTTAAATATAAATCTTGTGGCTAAATTCAAACAATAAATTGTTATAAATTACGATAAAAAATATTAACCGTAGCCAGTGTGCTGGGAGTTCTTTTATCAGACAGTTTTAATATGTTTGCCTTCTCCGACAGCATCTAGAAGAAACAAAAATAAAAAGCAATTAACCAAGGTAAAGAAATACTGTGTAAAGAACGAACAGTCACAAAACAGGTTTTAGTTCAGCTTCAAATTAGAACACTGAAGGAACAAAACAGAATTAGTTTCAATCCTAAATTAGCAAAAAATATGTTCATTCCAGCAAAGTGACCGATTTCCTAAAATAGTTAAACTGGGAATTTCATAGGAATTCACATATTGGGGACTTTATAGATGCATCTGAAGTTGATCAACCAGTAAAGGTGTTTTCTCACAGTCCAGAGCCCGACAGCCCAGATGCTCCTGGACGGAGCCTGACCCTCGTAATTAAGAGACTGCGACCAGACAACAGTAGTCAACAGATCTGCTATAACACATTCACATGTATCTTAAATCTGATCAGTGCATTTTAACACTGACAACATGTGTCTGTTTTTGTTTGAAATTACTGAAGGGCAGGATACATTTATATAATGGAGGTTTTCAGCTAGGCTGAAATAGGATACATTTTAATAATGGAGGTTTTCAGCTAGGCCTATACATTTGACAAGAGGCACAAAGGGTATGAAGTGTTTGTATGTACAGTATGTATGAGATCACATCACAGAATACGAAGATACTGGTACAATGAAATTAAAATATGTTCTCTGTCAACTAGCTCAGTAAACAGCTTAATTTCTCACCGCAATGGTTCTGCAATCTCTAATACTTTTGCCGTTATAAACATATTTTGAGTTCACATA